CCTGCCCCGCCGTGCCGGATCACGAGCTTGGTGGGCAGGTGCGGAGGGGGCTGGGCCGAGGCCCCGGGCCCTGAGGATGGCGGTGGGCCATGGCCAGCGAGCCGGTGGCCTTCAGAGGAGGCTGCGACTGGGAGGCCGAGAGACCGGGAGGAGGACACATACTCATCTACAGAACGAGGGACACAGACGACGCACAGGGGTGAGGAACGGCCTGAGTCTCCAGGGAGCAGAACCGGGAGGGGCAGGTGGCCCTGAGTGCGCACAATCTGCTAGGGACAAGGCTGAGCCCTTATCCATCAGGTCCTCCGTGCACGGTCCTGCCTCAGCAACCTTCAGACTCCCCTAACTCTGAAACCACACTGTCCAACACGGTGGCCATCACCACATGGGGCCGTTTAGACTTAAATGAATTAAAAGAACGGAAAACGAAAAGTTCAGTTCCCTAGTCACACTTGGCACATTTCAAATGCTCAACGGCCACATTGGCTGTTGGTTCCCGGAAAGTTGTACTGGACAGCACTGATCCAAAAAAAAAAAATCTAAAAAAACCAAAATGGGGGTAGGAGGTATGTCATTTGACGGCAAAATCTAGTCTGAAATGACATGAGGTTATTTATGGTTTTGACTTATCCCATTTAGTCCAGATACCCATCTGTCTGACGGCAGAAATATTTATGTATCTGACCACAGAGAGCTTCCCCAGAGCCCACTGGGGGTGAACTGAAAGACACTATCTAGTTACTTCAACATCACCTTTCTAAAAGCAAAAGAATGTCCAGAATATATTAGGCCCAAGGGTTTCAGATAAGGGACCATACGCTGGTGGCACAACCCCTGCTTTACAGATGAGAAAGTGGAGGTACAGAGAGGTTAAGGTGCTCACCCAAAGTCACACCCAGTAAGTGGCAGAGCTGGGATTTGAACCAGAGGTTCTGACTCTGGAATCCTACCCCCAACCTCCAAGGGGTCCTACTTCTCCCACCCTGAGACTTAAGAACGGCCCCACCCCTCCTTCACCATGGCCACCCCCTCGCACCAATTTCTCCTTCAAGTACCAATAACTACTTTTTAAAAATTAAGCTCCAGGGCTCAAGGATAAAGCAGAATGAAGGCACTGGTCTGGGGGCAGAAAGCAGGGACAACTTTTTTCTTGAGGGAAGCACTGGAGTTGGTTGGAATTGAATGTGGGCAAGGGCTAATGGGGTATTTGGAGAAAAACTGGTGGTTGGTATTTGACTGCACCCTATCCTGCAGATTGGAGACTAGGATGAGGGCCCCAGTCCTGGCTCTGCTCTCCTGCTTTTGTATCCTCCAACGAGTGGCAGAATATTTCCTCCATCCCAGGATCTTCACCAGGGGGTGAAAGGGACACACAGCAACGAAGGAAGATGCAAGCAGCACTCTCTAGTTTCAGAGGTTGGAGGTCAGGAGACCCAGCCATAGCAGGAAGGTGGGGCTCGGGCACCACCTAGCGGTGGAGTAAGGTAAGGCTACGCACCAGAATGGGGGGTTGGGGGGGCCATAAATATAATTCTGCTGCCTGGTGCAGTAGGGGATGCCTCTTCCTCCCCTCTCCTCTTACCAGGCTTCTCCTTGGCCAGCTGTTTATCCAAGGCAAGAGTGGTCTTCTCCTCCTGAATGAACATTCGGTCGATCATTACCATCTCCGCTGAGGGGCTCACCCTCTGGGGGCGGTGGGGGTCAGGGAGAGAAAAAGTGGGCAGGTGAAGAAGCAAGGATCAGGAAGGAGAGGAGAGCGAGATCGACCCAGGCGGACATAAGCAGATTCCAAATTGCCCTTGTGATCTCATCACCTGCCTCCCTCCCAACCTCCTTCTGGAGGCTAGATGGGAAAGGGCAGTCCCAGTGGGAGGAACCCAGTAGGGAGGAAGGAGACTTTGACCCTACCCGGGACTCCTCCAGGAGCAAGAGACGATATTTATTGAGCATGGCCTGGGTGCGTTTCAGCAGCTGCGTGGAGACGGTCTCAAATTCCTCGTCCACTGCAAGAAGAGAAGAGATGCAGGGGCAGAGATGTTAGGGACATGCAGACCTGCAGAGGCACAGGGGGCTGGGCACACCCTGGCACAGTGCTCCCACAGTGAAGCATGCATGCTTCTCTCCACCCTTTGCTGCCCCCCGGCTCCCTACGAGGGCTGATGGCTGAGCTGGGGACCCTTTGGGACACTTTAGGGAGAGTCCTGGGGAGGCCTCACCTTTGTGGTAGTCATTGGGGGAGGGGAGGGCACCCTGGTAGACATGGTAGGGCAGGAGGCGATACAGGGCATCCTCAAAGGAGGGGAAGGCTGTCTTGTAGTCAGGGTGCAGGACGGAGCCCTGATGCTTGTGCAAATGCTCCAGGAAGCTGGTGGAGAGAACCACACACAGAGCCAGGAGTGAGGGCCAGGAGAGAGACCCCATCCTGGACCCTCAGCCCCAAGGCACAAGTGAACCCAATAACAAAGGGAAAAGGAATACTTGGAAAGCATGTTAACAAGTTCTAAACACGTTGTTTTGTCTTGCTGAATCCCTAGCCATGACCAAAGGAAGCAGGTGCTATCATTACCGCCATTTTACAGGAGAGGAATGTGAGGCCCAGAGAGGTAAAGTTAATGAAGTCACTGGTCCCCAAGGCACATAAAGGAGGAAGAGACAGAACTGGGGAGTCAGAGGCCAATGCCTGGAAGTTCATCCTCCTTGCTATTCTGTCTCCTTCCACCTGGGGTCACTGTGTCTCCACCAACCTCTGGCCTAGGAGCAAACTTCAGGAGGGAGGGAGGGAGGTAGGTTGGTTGGTAAGATCCTCGTTTCACCTGTCTTCTTCTACCACAGCACACATTACAGTCGTACGTCTCTTTATTGTGTCTCCCACCGGACAAGCCCATCCCCACCCTTTGCTGAAGACCAGCAGCTCCCATGCACAATGGGGGCAGGGACTGTCTTGTTTACTGTTGTGTTCCCAGCATCTAGCACAGGCCTCTGAGCATTACGTGGGCACTGAGTGAGCACGTAATGAACACTCGTGGTGGAAGGAGGGCAGAAGAGGAGGGAGGCCAGAACGCAGCCACATTTGTCCACACGTCCAGCCACACACCCACCCAGACTCCCACACATCTGTCCACCCAAACACCTGTCCCGCATCCCCCCAGCACCCATGGTCCAGCACCCACCTACCTACCCAACAGGCATCCTTCTCTCCACCTGTTCATTATTGCCCCTCAAAACATGCGTTTGTCCATTTATCCGGTCGCCCCAACATGCACTTGCTCATCTCAAACACCCATCTGTCCATCCACCCACCTCTCCAGTGAAATTAAGCCCTGCCCTTGCCCAACTGTGGTTCAGATGCTGAGGGTACCGCCATGACCAAGACAAAAGCAGCCCTGCGGTGCCACAGTGAGTCCTCAGCTACACCAGCCTGTCATCCCCACTGTTACCACCTCACTTTCCAGAGGGGGAAACCACACAGCTAACAAGAGGGGCAGGTGGGACTGACTCAGGCCTGCTGCCCCCACTCCTGCAGGGTGGTCCCCACGCCCCACCCCCACCCCCTGGAAAGGTGTGGAGGGAAGGGTGCGTGAGAATAGGGTGCTGGGACTCACCAGGCTTCCTTGCTGGGCTGAAGCAGAGGGGGCTTCTTCAGGCTGCTCAACTTGCTGTCATACTGCAAGGACACAGGGGGGGAGGAAGGCCCGTGAGGCGTTGCCATGGGAAAGGCTTCCCTCCACCTTAACCCACTTTCTCCCTCCAGCCTGGGACAAAGATGAGGCAGCGGGCAGCATGGTACGGCTGGGGTGCCCCATCCATCAAGCTAAACCTTCGAGGGAGAGCTGGGCCAGACCACGGCTGGGAAGGTAGAGGTGAGAGTGACAAGCAAGCCCAAGCCCTCGGCACTCTCCACCCGGGTCCCCTCCGTCCCTGCCTAGGGCTGGTCTCACGGCCTTTGTCTGTCTCCTGGGATCTCATGGTTCCCTCTCCATCATCACATAGCACCACTGTCCAGTGTCTGCTCCTCTGACTTGCAGGGTCCCTCTCTCCCCACCACGGCTCCTCTCGCTTTGTGACATCTCTTCATCCTGACCCCCCTCTCATCTCCAGTGTCCCCTCTCAGTCCCTGGTGAATCTGGCCTTCCTTCTGTCACCTCCGTCTGAGTCTCTCCCAAACTCGGGTCCTGGTCCCTCCAACCCGCTGCTCTTGTCTTCCCATTTCCGACAGGTGGTCTCTGCCTCCATCTCCCCCTGGCCTCCTGCCCTCCGTTCTCAGCCCAGCCATCCCAGGACTCACCCTTACCCACCCTGTCTGTCTAGAGTCTCGTCCTGTCCCTGACTCTCCTGTCCTGAGCTTACCATCTTACAGTCTCAACCCTGTCCCTCCTCCTCCTGTCTGTCACCTGCTCCCACCCCCAGCAACCATCTCAGGCTCTCATGCTGTCACCAAGTCATCCTGATGCCTGTCCCTGTCCCACTATCTCCATGCTCCTCTCCCATCTCTGACCACATGTCTGTGGGTCTCCCCTGCCCCTTCCTGTCCCTGCCCAGCTGTTTCCGGTGTCTTAGCTGCCTCTGTCCAGGGGTCCTAGTTTCATCCTGTCCCATCCTTCTCGCCTTTTCCCTGTCCCTGCTGGCCCCGTTCCCCAGTTCTCTGACAACGTCCCAGTCCTGCCTCCCCCTGCTCTGAGGGCCTCTTACCTGCAGCCCGGAGGACTTCCCTGGCCCGGATGAAGCAGCCTTGGCCACACTCAGGGTCGGGAGGTTGCCGGCAAAGGCTTTGCTCTCAGCAGGAAGCAGAGGAGGGAGGCCTGGGGATGGGGCCAGGGTGGGGGAGACAGGGCCCAGGGTCACTGGTCTGAAGGCCCCCTCCTCAAACATAAGCCCCAATCCCGTATCCCCACCACTCTCCTCCTGGTCCTTTGGCCTTAGCAGCCACATCAGTCCTGCAGTGCCCCCTCAGATCTGGGAAGCCAGCCCTGCCTCCTCCACCTTTCCTTGGGCTGGAAGGTCTGGGAGATGCTCTGGGCTCACATACCCCAGAGCTCTGCTCGAGCCCATCCTCCCTGTCTCAGCCCCCCATCCACCCACCTCCAGGCCCCTTATCTTTCCTGCATGGGCTACCTCTCCCCTACCTGTGGTGGCCATGGGTGCCGGGGCAGGGGGATGGCTGGGGGCGGTGGGGGTCCCGGATGGGGCCTGCCCGCTGACCAGCACAGAGGCAGTGGGGCTGGCGAGGGGCCCCAGGCTGGCGGAGGTCTGCGGGGTGGCCGGGGCGCCCCCGGCCTTGTTCTGGAGAATGATTCCGGACGGCACCTGAGGAGGGGACAGGTGGTTGAGGGGTGAGGGGGCACAAGCTAGGAGTGGGGGCGGCCAGATGCACCAGGGCTGGGAATGAACAGAAAGCCATAAACATGAGGGACTCCGATCAGACTGGGGGTGGGGGGCAGGGGCTCGTGGAGAGACCGGGGAAAGCCAGCCGGTCCCTGCTCCGATTACCTGGTGAAATCTCTCGAGAAGAGCCTTCGGCTGGGGCAGCGCCGGGAAGGGGGTGGTCACCATCTGGAAGGTCCGAGGAGGCAGTGGGGGGGGCGCTGTGGGCTCGGGGACCAGGTGGAGGGTCGGCGGGGGGGTGGGGGACTTGTGGGTCCCCTGGCTGGGCGGGAACTGGAGCTGGAAGTCGGACGGCGTAGGGGCTGGCAACCTGGTGGACGTCTCAGAGGAGGAGGCCACGACGGAGGAGGTGGAGGCCGGAGGGAGGTGGGGTGCTGGGGGCAGCAACCCCTCTGGCGGCTGGGATGGAGGGCGCAGAGGGGGCTGGGGTGGGCCTGGAGCGTCCCGGATGGGGCCTGCCCGCTGACCAGCACAGAGGCAGTGGGGCTGGCGAGGGGCCCCAGGCTGGCGGAGGTCTGCGGGGTGGCCGGGGCGCCCCCGGCCTTGTTCTGGAGAATGATTCCGGACGGCACCTGAGGAGGGGACAGGTGGTTGAGGGGTGAGGGGGCACAAGCTAGGAGTGGGGGCGGCCAGATGCACCAGGGCTGGGAATGAACAGAAAGCCATAAACATGAGGGACTCCGATCAGACTGGGGGTGGGGGGCAGGGGCTCGTGGAGAGACCGGGGAAAGCCAGCCGGTCCCTGCTCCGATTACCTGGTGAAATCTCTCGAGAAGAGCCTTCGGCTGGGGCAGCGCCGGGAAGGGGGTGGTCACCATCTGGAAGGTCCGAGGAGGCAGTGGGGGGGGCGCTGTGGGCTCGGGGACCAGGTGGAGGGTCGGCGGGGGGGTGGGGGACTTGTGGGTCCCCTGGCTGGGCGGGAACTGGAGCTGGAAGTCGGACGGCGTAGGGGCTGGCAACCTGGTGGACGTCTCAGAGGAGGAGGCCACGACGGAGGAGGTGGAGGCCGGAGGGAGGTGGGGTGCTGGGGGCAGCAACCCCTCTGGCGGCTGGGATGGAGGGCGCAGAGGGGGCTGGGGTGGGCCTGGAGCAGTGGTGGCTGGGGTGCTGGCGGGTGGGGGGACACCCAGCTGGTTCTGGATGACAAAGATGCCAGGCAGAGTTGGGATAGTCCTGGGAGAGGACAGCAACCCATCGCTTCTAAAGGGAGAGAAGAAAACATGCTGGCAAATTGTAGCTTGTTTATTTACAATACGTGAAAGAATCAGAACTTGAATTACAGGACTATGTTTCAAATACACTGCTGACTAAGAAAAATGTTAGCTATAATTCTCCAAAATGTTTTTATGACGGCTCATGCTTTGTGTTTTTTCTTATAAATGTAAAACAGTATTCCAAAAATGCCTTCATTGCTACTAAATGCAATTAATGGAACCGAACATGAAGTAGGCTGGCAGCTGCAGCGGCTGTCTCCCTAAAAGAGGCACGCAATTGTTCAACCTGTGCAGGCACTGCAGCTGCCCCATTACAAATCGCCAGACAACAAAAGGTGCCTTTGCCATCATCAGTGAGGCTCATCTTAGTTTTTTTCCCAATGAGAACACTCCAATAACTACAAACAACCTCAACACTTTAACTGATGTCTCAAATCCTAAAAACCATAAAACTAACTTATTAACACATAACTCAAAAGTCTACACGAACTGAGTGGCCTCGACAGTCTGTTTTGGATTAGTAGGTGTACTTACTGTTGCCCAGGTTGGAACAAGGTCACATTTGTTAAGTACAAAAATGAGATGTTTCCAGGGTTTTTCCTTTTTCAAGTAAGCTAGTGACGGGGATGAGGAGGGGCCTGGGCCCTTCAGTGGAGCTGCTGCCGGGATCTGGTCGGGGAAGGAGGGAGAGGGGAGGGGGCAGGGTCAGAACCTTGGCTCCCATTGCTCCAAGAAACTGGGACCCTGGCCACCCCCCGCCAAAAATTCCCTTCTTAGCCCAAGCCCTGTCCTAGAGAGGACTCCACCATGGCTACTCTCACCTCCTCTCACTTCTCAACTCCCGTCACATCCCCTCCACCTACCTCCCACATCCCCCTTCATCCCACCCCTCTATCCTCCTACCTCATCCCCTCCACCTGTCCCCCGACCTGTCCCACCTCAGCCCCTTCACCTGTTCCTCCATATGTCCTCCCCACCTGATCGCCTCCACCTGTTCCCCTGCCTGTCCCCCACCTGTCTTACCTCATCCCCACACCTGTTCCCCCACCTCACCCCCTCCACCTCTGTCCCCTCACCCCATCTCCTCTACATTTCTGTGCGCTCTGATCTCATCCCCCTCTTCTGCCCCATTTGCCAGTCCCTCAACCCACCTCCCCCCGCCCAAATGAAGGCAAGCTCTGCAGGGTTGGGGGGATTGGCAGCAGCGGCGGAAGCGGCAGGAGGGGCGGCACACCAGCTGCCCAGCGCCAAGGCGGGAGGGCCTGGGAGCAGCGAGCACAGCAGCAGGGGAAGAGGGAGGGCACGGCGGCATCTCCACTGCCAGCCCCTGCCCGCCTGTCCGGCTAAGTAGAGGCAAACACCGGCATGCCTGCCCACAGCTGTGTGCTGGGGGGCCCAGGGGAGAAAGGACAAGAAGGGCAACCGAGGGGGCAGGGGCAGGCCTGAGCTCACAGCCATGGAAGGTGGGGGACTCTGGACACTGGCACCTGAGTCCCGGACCTCCTTCTAGGTGTCCAGGGGCCCTGCCTCTGTGTGCCTGTGTGGCTGTGACTGCAGACATACCCTGGGACCACATGAGCTTGCAGGTTCAGGCATGCGCGTGTGGGCGCAGATTAGACTCTGGCCAAGGCTGCGTCTGCAAGTGTACGCGACCCAGGCGCTAGTTCTACAACACCCCCATGGTGACCTCACCTAAAACACGCCTCGGCCCAGGCATCTTGCTCCTTTAAACTCTCCTCAAGAATCGTAACCACTTTGTAATCAATGAGCACCAGCTGTGTCCCCCAAACTAGGATGGCACCTTCACGTTCACTGTCACAGAATCTGCATCCCAGTAACAGCTCATGCTGACCCAGCATGGACGGCTGCCACCTGCACCAACTGATGTGATCTCTTTATGGCCCTGAGGGCAGTGATAACACTGGACCCACTTCACAAGTGAGAAACTGAGGCCAAGGAGCTAAAATGACTGGCCCAGAGTCTCCAGACAAGGAGAGGCAGAGCTGGGACTGGAGCCTAAGTTTGTGCTCATCACGCCCTGCTTCCCACCACTCAGCGACTTCTTAGCTGATTCTCAAAGCTGACTGAGGAGGACCCAGGCACAGAGGGCTCAGAGGACCTGCCCAAAGCCACCCAATGCTGCCAACCTCCAAAGCTGGGCTCCTTTGAGCTTCCAGAGTAGGCTAATTCAGACTTTAGAGTTACCCACAGCGGTGCTCCAATGTTAGGGCAGTGGTAGAATAACACATTACACGATTGCTGGGCAATCGGTTACATGTGATTATCGTGCACTAGGTAACAGTATTGTGTCAATGTCAAATCACTGAATTTTATAACTGTACAAGGGTTAAGTAAGTGTTAAGTCCTTGTTCTCAAGGGCTGAAATACTATACTAAAATATTAAGGAGTGAAAGGGGTGTAATGTCCACAACTTACTCTCAAATGATTCAGGAAAAAAACAAAAAGTATGCATATTGAGAGAACTAAGGGTAAAACAAGCATGGCAAAGGTGTGCAATGATGGGTAAATGTGGTGTGACGGCCGGCCTCCCAGATGGCTCTGGGTGATTCCCGCCTCGCGTTCAGTCCCCTCCCACACTATACCAGGGTGAGTCTCTGTGACCAACAGAAGTTGGCAGAAGTGCTAATTATGTCCCTTCTGAGATTAGGTTATAAAAAAGACTGCAGGTTCCAGTCAAGATGGTGGAACAGACAGTCCCCAGTGTCACTCTCTCCCACAAATCAACCAATTTACAACTATAAAAATGTAACAGCCAAGCTGGCGCCCCTGGAGCTCAGGGGAAGAAGAGGAGAGACCTATGGAGTTCATGAAGGTGGGAGAAGCCACGATTAGAGAAAGAAAAAACTGCTGTGAGCGTTTCGGGCCATGGACACCTTAATGCTGGAACTGCAGAGCACATGCAGCAGGAGCCAGCAGAAGCTGCAGCTGTGCCCTTCAGATGGAGTTGCTTGGAGGCGGCAGGGGAGAAGAGGGCCTTGGCAACCCCCAGGACAGCAAGATCACTAATAGGGTTCCTGTGGACCCACGCAGGAGCGAGGAGCCACAACTGAAAAAAGGGAGCCATTCAGAGGCCGGTGAGTCATTGCAAGAGACCAGCACAGGGCCCGTCCCATGGGAAGTGTTTGGAGCATGGGTGGTGGGGGAGATGGGCCCACCGGGAAAACACTGGAACACAGCAAGGACAGCCAACCCACCCCCCCAATCAGCACAGGACCACTTAGAGGAGACTGGTGAGGAATGCAGAATTGCATGTGGGGCAGTTTGATGAAAAAACTCAGGCCCAGATCAGAGTTTCTGCACAACCCAGGTGCACCAGGTCTCTGGAGAGCCAGAAGTACCTATAAGGTCAACCTTTAAACCCTGAGCTGCACAAAAAACCTTCCCTAAGGAAACAGCAGCAAAGCAGCAATTTAGCTCAATGACACAGCTCAAGTACTAGTCCACACAGGAAGTTCCCTCGTTTTAGAAGTAAGCAAAGGACAATAAATTAGTTCCAGCCCAGGCACATCACCAGTGCCTCGGGGCCCCACCTGGGGGCCTGAGGCATGGAGCAGAGGACTGGACACCCCTCCCACAACCAGGCACACCATGCCAGCACCTCAGGGCCCCACCCAGAGACCTGAGGCATGGAGAAGGGGACCGGACTCGCCTCCCACAACCAGGCACACCATGCCAGCACCTCAAGGCCTGCCTGGAGACTTGAGGCATGGAGAAGGGGTCCAGATCCCCCTCCCACAGCCAGGCACACCGTGCCAGCACCTCAGGGCCTGCCCACTGACCTGAGGCATGGAGCCAGGGACCAGACCCCCTTCCCACAACCAGGCACACCACACCAGTGCCTCAAGGCCTGCCCAGAGACCTGAGGCATTGAGAAGGTGACTGGACCTCACTCCCACATCCAGGTACACCGCCAGCATCTTGGGGCCCCACCCAGGGG